TTATTAAAATTTTAAAAAAACACTGTTTTTCAAGCATCTATTATATGCAAGGCATTTAGATATTTTACACACATTATCACAGTTAAGTCTTACAACGTATCTATGAGGTAGGTGCTATTATTCCCATTTTGCAGGTGAGGACAGTGAAGGTCAGGGAAATGATTCGCCATCACACAGCTAGTTAAGTACACAGCCAGGAGTTGAATATAGATTTGATTCCAAATCCTATATTCTTTCCTCTCTTGTGTATCAGCCCCTTAAACTTATATTTAAGCAAAGTTTGAATGAAACTTTACATACTTAAGGCATCTGTGAAAGAACACAAACATGGCTGGTGACATGTAGTTGCACAGAAATGCACATTGTTTCACCTTACTTTTCCACTAAATAACTGACTCTGTTAATATACTTCCCAGAAATATTATGAAATAAACTGAGCCTTTCTATGATTAAATATGACCTTATATTCAAACAAGGCTGAGTTATTAAATATTTGAAGCTAAATTAGCAATGAGACTATTGCCATTCTAATATAAAGATTCAGAGCTGTTTCAGAATTTGTAAAATTGCCCCAATTCTGTGAGCACTTGGGCATACACTCTCCAATCACTGAACACAATTCATTGAGCATCTACTCTTAGAACTATGTAGAGCAGCCAATTCTAGGGACTTGGAAATACAGTGACAAACAAGATAAAGTCAGTAACCTCAATGAACAATGGGGAAAACAGAAACCACACAAGAGAACAGGAAAGATACCTCTAAGAAGGTAACGTCTGTATCAGAGATCTACGTGATGGAGGAAAGTGAGCCATACAAATATCTGGGGGAGAAACAAGAGGAAGAACATTAGAAAAAGAAGGAACAAATATAGCAAAGGCCTTGACTGGGAAAAGGAACTGGTATGTTTGAAGAACAGCAAAAAGGCCAATGCCACCAGAGAGAAAAGGTAATCAGAGATGAGGACATAGAGATGGATACACCATGTATATCCTTGAAGGCTCTGATAAGGAGTTTGGATTTTATTCTGAATGTAAGGAGAAACCATTGATTTTTTTAAAAGATTACTCTGGCAGCAAGAGAAATGAGAATAGGGGAGCAAAATGGAAGCAGACAGACCAGTTAGGAGGCTACTACAGGAGGAGACAGTGATTTGAACTAGGGCAGTGGTGGTAGAGGTGATGATGTCTTTTGGTATCTAGGAGTCTTTTGAATCTAGAACTGAGATAAACATCAAGGAAGTGAGTAGGTATAGAGGAATGAAGGGCTGTGGGCTGAGCCCTGGAGCACTCAAATATTACCAGTGTAGAAAAGGAAAAACTAGAAAAGGGAAAATATTGCCATTTTATCAGCACACCAGAAGTATATTTTGTATTCAGACTTTACTTGGTTTCTTTTTCTAAGCATTAGAGGAAACCAGGCAGTTTAGAGTTTGTTTCCAAGCAGTTATATTTTTGACCACATAGAAAATAAAAATATGAGAAATAGGATAGAAATAAAAGATTTCTATTTAAATGAAGAAACTGTTGGTAAGTTAATATGCACTCAAACCTGATTCAACTGTAAGCCAGTAATTTCTAAAAATAAATTATATCACCAAACTTGGGAGTCTTCAACAAATAAAAGCCTCTAAGCCTAGAACCTGAAATGCACGTAAATTATGTAAGTAGTTTCATTGTAACATAATCTGACCTGCATTTGTTTTATTACCTGATATTGCTGACACGTTAGGAACCTACAATCAGGAAGTGTAAAAACAACCAGAAAGTAAAACTGACTTATGGGCAAGAATTGAGGAAAAAAAAAAGAAAATATCCATGATGAGGAAATTAAAATTTTGACTCTTTCTGTTCATCTGTTTCATCTAAAGCAGGGCAAGTAATTAACTCAGACAATGTCAAAATTAAAACAAAAGGTTTTACATTTTAAAACAAAAACTGTAATGTGTAACATTTCTTTTCATATCCATTTTTAAAATGAATTATGTGTCTCTTTTCAAAACCTGTCAATTTCAACCTTTTTAGATTTTACTCATTTGACATATTTTAGCCTTTTAATTAAGACGACAGGGATACTGAGGCAGGAAGACATGAGTGTAAATTAAAATTCTGGCACTAACAATTATTGCTGATTTTTTTTGGGCCAGTTACTGCTTTACACTCAGAACCTGTGTCTTCATATGAAAAACAGAAATAATATCTACTCCGTTCCATTTTGAGCAAGATTATAGGAGATTAAGTTATGAGAGAACGTGGCAAACATTTATAGCTTTATACATAAATGTCAATTCTTTCCTTCTATTCTATCTCCCTTCTCTTCACTGTTTCAGCATCTATAATATTAATACATTTATTAAAGTCACCTTCTGAGTATTTTTCAAAGGGTAGACTTTTACTTTAACTGAAATGGTGATGATATCATAATCCTAGGAGTTTTTGATCAGTATCTTTTGAAATGCTATATTTTATTCTTCTGGACCATAAGGCCGTTCAGGGGAAGGACTGCCATTCTTCGAAACCCTATTGTCTAGCAGGGCAGTAATATTTGTAATATGGAAAATAGATTATACAACATTAAAAGGCACTAAGCATACTTTGTACAAAAATATCTGGAGGAGCTATTTACGTTATTTGCTTTGTGATCAAGAATTAAATAATTATGATCTTATAGATTAAGGTTTACATTTTTCTAATTTTTTAAACTTATATTTCTGTGTATTGATTAATATGACAATTACCTTAATTTTCACAAATAAAATTCAAGTTTCAAATAAATTTGTATTAGAATTGTTTAATTCTCTTATTTTAAATCTGTGCATATTTCATTTTTTCTATGACAGTTTTACAAATACATTATTTCAAGTATGTCTCTTTAGACTCTGTTAGAGCCTACAAAGGAGCTCTCAGTGTTTCGGGCATATCTGAAAAAGTAACATCAGTTCTGCCATATTACACTTTCTGCATCACACAACTGGAGGGATCTGAATATCCTCATAGATGCTAAAAAAAGTCAAGAGTCATTGACCATGGGAAAAACTGTTGATTTGGTTTTACTCTGCAGTGTTGGAGGTCATTTGGTCATTTCTAATTTCTACAGGATTTCTAACACTTTGCTTGAGTAAACTGAGAACATCATCCCCAAATTAAGGAGACAAAGCTCATCTAATAACTAATTCCCTAAATGACTTCTATTTCCTCCTTAAACACACAATCCTGCTGTTGTCACCCTCTTGCAGAATCATCTCTCTCCTATATTTACCATTATAAACACAGAACGTTTCCTGATTTTAGAGGAGAAGGTGCACTGTTAACTGCTGACATGTACCAAATGCCAAAATTGTTGGCTACAATGGAGAAATTCTAATTTTTCTTCAAATAAGTAATTATGGCTAAATTATTTTGCCTCTTCCCCTACCATGCAATCAATTGAGAATAAGGAGCATATAAATACTCCATGATATTATGTATTTTTAAAAGTTTCTTACATATTAATGTAGTGTCATTCTGAAATATAATAAAAAAGATTTAAAATAATGTATATTGGCTTTCTGAACATTTTACAGGTGCTAAAATCTAAGTATCTTTATGAAATACCTCTTGTATAAGTTTCCAAAATGAGGTTTAGTTTTTTAGAGTAATCAGAAGCTTTCAATTCTATTTAAGAGGTTTCTAAATATCCATTTTCCTCCCTTCTTCATTTCTGTCATTCCAACATTCGTTAGAATGTCCAACAAAGGACAATAAATAGAAAAGGGAGAGAAAGCATATTCACTCACTCTAATGCTTATCAACCAACTAAGTTAAAAATGTATTTGTGGGGATTATGAAAAAAGTAAGGTGATAGCAAAAGATAAAACTGATGCAATGGTGTTGGGAATTATCTTTCTATTTCATTCATCCACATTAGCAATCTTTTCTAGGTCTGGCCACAAGAAAGTTACATGGACACAGACCTTCTATAATCCATTCCTTTTTCCACCAAAATTCTTCAATTCATTCTGCACAAACGTATGGAGGGCTAATAGGGTGAAGCATTATTCTAGGTGTTAGTGGACAGCCACAAACAAAACAAAAATCCCTGTCTTCATGGATTCTCATTTTTCAGTAGGAATAAATAGATACATTTTAAAAGTACAAATATATAGTATATTAGATAAGTGCTATGAAGGAAAATAAAACAGGAAAAGAAGGATATAAAGAGTCCAGGGCAGGCATAGGAGCTGAATTTTTAAATTGGGTGATCATTTATTCTCTTGCTCCTGCTAAAAAAAAGTCTACACCATTCTATTTTCCTAAGCATCAAACTACATTGAGGCATACATTAAGAGCAAATTTCTGTTATAGAGAACAAGTAGGTAACCACGAAAATTACATTAAAAAATTTTAATGACAGAAGAGCCATTGTTTAAGTTTTTAAAAGACTGCTTTATATTATTTTCATAAGCATTGCTGGTAAAAAAGGTAGATATATCAGAATAATTGTTATTGGTGATATAAATTCTTGGATAAAACTTGATACTCACCAAAGTGACTATCAAGTAATAACAAAGCAGCACTAAAATCTGGAAAAAATATTTTTTCACATCCTGTCTTGATTAATTTGCTGAACTTTGGGTGGGCAAAACAAACAGCTCTTCAATATATGGTACAACTGATGTCCAGCTATATTCCAACAGTAGCTGAAAAACATTTAAAAACTTTTGCTGTAATGATCAAATACCTCCCAGGCAAGCTGAGCTATTCTCTGGTAACACAAGGTCCTTGAAAACCCAGAAGGCTGGCTAGGTTCTGTATCCAGGAAGGCCTGTCAAAGTAAGCTTCTGTTGGTTACTACCACAACCTACCTACCTACCTGAGTGACAGCTATTCTCAGACACATAAACTTTCAAGAAATCTCAAGTGCTCTCAAATTACTCACATCATGACTCTCCCTCAGCATTTTATTGAACCAAATACTTTTTAAAGTAAGAATATTAGAATTCTACTGACAAAAAAGAATACCTCCATGATGATGTGACAGGCTCCCTCCATTTGCGAGGATTTCTTCTCTAGCAGCTGCCTGTATTTGGAAACAACACAGCAAATCATTGCTACTTAGATTTCACTTCAGAGTAGAATAAGACCCAACTCCCAAAGGAAGCACATACTTCCTGTGGTAAATAATAAACCAGAAGCCTCATTTTCCTCTCTTAAATGTTTAAAAACCAATTAAAGTATGCAGCCTAGCTTTTGGTTTTTTTCTAGTGAATAGTCACAATGTCTACAAAGACCACTTTGAGATTCTAGAAGAAAAAAGGCAAAATGACCGATTCAGCAGCACTAAATTGTTAATAACAATAAATAAAAAGTTATAAATCCAGAGTTAGGTTCTACATTGCAGAACATCTCATTATACTAACAAGCATTAGTGACTGATACTTAACTGACTGCTTTCTGTACATCCAGAAAAGCACCAAGTAATGTGCCTGCAGTACCTCATTTATTTTCACTATAGCCTTACAGAATAATTATAATTACTCCCACTTTACAGATAAAGAAAATGAGGTTTAGATAGGATAAATTATTTGCCTAATATCACACAGTGGGCATAGAGTCAAAATTACTTACAAAGCTATCACAGACCAACCATAATTGCCCTTATGGAGAAAATTTTGAAGGTGATGTATATATTCATTATTTTGATTGGGGTGATGGTTTCACAAGTGTACATATATATCAAAACTCACCATATTATACACTTTAACTATATACAGTTTACTATATTACAATTATACCTCAAGAAAGCTTAAAAAAAAAAAAAAAAAGAGGAGGGATAGGAAGGTACCAACCAAACCCCGTCTGTGGTTTGGGTCTAAAACTGTGTCACTGCAATTATATTGTGGTACTATCTTTGGCAGGCATGCAAGGAGTTAAAATACTAGGGCACCTGAGATTTTAAGAAACCTCAGGTTCCCACAGGATCCTCCACTGTCTGTGAACTCTAGGCAGACTTGTAATCAGAAACATTGGCCATCAAAAGAAAGTTTTATAAAAATTAGCAGCTTAAGACCACTTAAAAAATATAATAAAAACTGCTAGCTGATGAACCTAAATTACCTACACACATAGCTTTGGCATACAAAAAAACAAAAAAAAGACAAACTTAGAACGATATTATAACCACATAGACCAAGAGCATTAGGACTGCTGACCTCAACAGCAGCAACTACCTGGAGGTGGGTAGGCTGCCAAAGTGACATTAAGGATTCCTATAAGTCATAGGAATCCCTATTGTTATTTAATTTAAACAGCTATAATGTACTCTAAGTAACAACCAAATCAAAAACTAGGTATATAGTATATTAATTTTAGACTCATAATTCAGTACATAAGGCAATACAACAAATATGCTTTGGGCCAGCATATCATTACTATCGGCTAGCAGCCAGGCACACCATGTGCAATTAAAGAGAATCAGACTAAAATTCATAAATAGATAGTAAAATTTACGGAAATCAATTACAAACATAAAAGCTACATACATGCATGGAAAATTACCTCAGTTTGTTCAAACACAGCCAATGGGTCACTAATTCCCCTGTAGTTAAAGGCAAAATAGAAGTAGATACATGCACCTGCATCATAAGTCTGTGTCACCCTAAAAAACAGACAAAATCCCCAAAGGGGCGTTAAGTTAAATGAAATCAGATTTAACAGCTAGAAACTTAAAGGCAAGATTACCTAAATGATTACCTTAAGCTCTGATCTCATTCTCTACCCAGCCTCCTACTCCATGGAAGAAATTTAGCTTGGCTTTCTTTGGAGTTATCACCAAAACGATGAATTGAGGATGCAGTGTGAAACAAGAGAATTTTACTTTCATTTAAGTACCAATTTAGTCAATATTATAGGTATATATTCAATCTTTCTCTTGTTTATTTGTCCCATGTTACTAAAATTTCTATTGGTAAATAAAACAAACTTTTATACATTTCATCAGCATTTTATGATGAAATGCCATTTTCACTGATCTTATTGAAGTTGTTTTGTTATGTAGAAGTAATGGGAGCTAACAGCTGCATGTGTGAACACACACTAATATATAGTCAGATAAGTATTGGTATTAGCTGTTTTAAACTGCACAATCAAATTAAAATTCAACAAAAACATAACACCTGAAGATATATATATCTTGAAAATAAAATAATACTAACTTTTTTCCTCTTTTCTCTGTTCACCAAATTTTATGTACAGTTAGTTCTTCACATGGCTGGTGTAACAGTATTTAAGGCAAATCCATGTTGCAAATAGTATGGCTCCATTGTTTTTTCAAAAACATTTTTTCCTGCCAAAGGACCATACAATGAGGTCCATACATGGAGGTGATAACTATATTTTGTACTGCCACAGTAAAGGGACATGATACAAAACATCTGCCCCTTGAGAAAGGCAAGATTAGACTAGAAACAAAAGACTTGGTTCCATTCACTGGCCACATCACAACTCAGAACAGGAACATGAAACACATGGAATACATATGAACGTTCTAACAATGACTAAAATAAATTTTCACCATTTAAAAAATCTACATTGATAATATATGGGCAAATTATAACCTTTCAGAAGTGCATTAAGTGCTCTGACGACAACACTAGGAACTTGTCATTTGTTTGTATTGTCCTGGCTCAACAGACTTAAATATTCGGGGCCTAAAAAAGTAAATGACTAAAGTTGAGGCCAAAGGCCTTGTTCAATCAAAAATAAATGACAATGAAATAAGTATCAGTAACATTTTTTTTCCTGCACAGATAATTTAAATGTACTAGAAGATGCTCTTCTAAGTTCTCTCTATAAAAAGGCTGCATGGGACAGGTGCACTAGCAGGGAGCTACAAAAGCAAAAGAGAGAAGGAGGGAGAGAGGGAGAGAGACATGATATAGCATGACAAACAGGACTGAAGAATGCTTATAATTCTCAGCTTAATAAGCTATCTGACAATGCACTAGATACCTTAAGAGAGAAAACATAAAGACAGACAACATTAATAGCTTTAATGCAGCTTAAAAAGTAGTCTAGATTCTGGATTATACAGGTGGGAAATGCTAAGGTAATTAAATCACAGTGAGTGATTATAAAAGAATAAGAAAATTTGGGTAGGTCAGATTGGGAAAGGTCCTGGATGGAAGGAATGGAATGAATGGAAAGAATGATAAAAATAGAAAATCACCATTTGCAAGTATCACAATAAAAAACTGTTATGATCAACAATAGGAGATAGACAATTAGGTGACAGTATAAGAAATAGGATATCTGCATATCTCGCAAACTTGTCTCTCAAAGTTTCGCCCCATAAGACATTTATTTAGTATAACAGGAAAAAATTATGAATGTATGCATTTATTTATTTATCTAACTATCTATTAATATTTAGAGACAGAGTCTTGTTCTGTTGCCCTGGCTAGAGTACAGTGTGTCATCATAACTGGGACTAAAGGCAAATGCCATGATGCCTGGCTAATTTTTTTCTAAAAACAGTAATTTTATAATGGAGAGATCTGGTAGGCACCACCTTAACCAACTGATCAAACTTAACATCACCAATAATGAGACATATCAATATTATGTTTCTCCTACTATGATAGACCAAGAAGAGCACATCACTTCTGTGGTATTCTTGCCAAAATATATAACTTGAATTCTATCATGAGGAAACAAACAGACAAACCCAAACTGAGAGAAATTTTAAAAAATAACTGGCCAATATTCTTCAAAGGTATGAAGGTCATGAAAGATAAAGAAAGACTGAGACTGAGGAATTGTTCCAGATTGGAGAAGATTAAAGAGACATGATAACTAAACACACTAAGTAATCCTGGATTGGATCCTAAACCAGAAAAAAAGGTATCAGTGGGACAACTAATAAAGAAAGGCTTAGGTCAGGAGCAGTGGCTTAAGTCTATCATCCTAGAACTCTGGGAAGTGGAGGCGGAAGGATGGCTTTAAGCTCAGGAGTTCGAGACCAGCCTAAGCAAAAGTGAGACACTGTCTCCATAAAAAATAGAAAAATTTAGGCAGATGTGGTGGCATCTATTGTCCCAGCTACTCTGGAGGCTGAGGCAGGAGGATCACTTGAGCCCAGGAGTTGGAGGTTGCAGGGAGGTATGATGACACCACTGCACTCTAACTGGGGAAAAAGAGTGAGACTCTGTCTCCAAAAAATAAAAATAAAATAAATAAATAAAGGTTTGTAGATCAGTTAACAGTATTGTAACAACACTAATTTTTTGGTTTTGATAATCATACTATAATTATGTAGGATTTTAACATTTGAGGAATATGACTGAAGGGTATACAGAAACTACGTGTACTATTCTTGCAACTCTTTTTGTAAGTACAGATAATTACCCCCCCAAAATTAAAAATTTGAAAACAATATAAATGCTTCCCCAGCTGTCCTGAAATAAACAAAAACCTCTCACACGAGGGCTTTTTTCTAAAACTAAGTATACTGCAATTAAAGACAGCCTCCAAACAGACTAGATGGAAGTTGGTAGTCAATTATAAGTTTTCCAAACTTTCTCAAAGCTAACAGAAATAAGTATGAGAACTTAAAACTCAGAAACAGGATAAATGTTCAATCAGACTGGGAGAAATATGTTCATTAAGTACACATTAATAATTAGTAAGAATCTGGAACACAAATTGAATGATCGTATCAAATGCAGTGACATGGCCTTAAAATATTGTCTAGACCCTGTATGTGTATATGTGTGTATACAAAAGATATCAAGAATGTTAGATTATTAAATCATATATATAATATATATATGATCTTTCACAATGAAATTAGGAAAGCATTTAAAAGGGAGCTAAGGTAATCATAGTCAAATCTCCATATGCAATTTACAGAGATTCCCACAAAGAATTTAATTTAACAGAAGGAGCAAATACAGGGGAAATACTCTTTTTACTACACAATACAAATAGAATCTAATCTAAAATTTTAATGGCCTTTTAGGCCAAATGTTAGGTGCCTCAGAACAGAAGAAATGAACTGTTTAACAATGCTACTGTCAATTTGCCAGCTGTTTTTTTCTTAGAGTGTTAATTAACCCTCATAAAAAAGGTCCCTTGAATGTTTACATTTTAAGCACCAGATTTACAAAGTTTAAGAAAAATTGGAAAACCATTTTACCTATGAGAGCAGTATCATTAGTAGAAACCAAATTCAAATAAAATTTGGAGAAATGAATGAAATTAATTTATAGCAATTAGTAAAATATACATCACTCATATGAGAATCATTAATATTAATAAACAGAAAATGTAACTAAATATTAATAGAGCACTACCATTTTCCAACAAGACCAGGATCTATATATTACACAGTTCAGTTTTCAGTAAATAAGCAGACTACTAAAGTCACAACAATAGGCCTGAGTGATCAGTATCTCAAACAAAATCCAAACAATGAAAAACACCTTTTGAAATACCTCAATTTGGGTCCATTTCAGAAAGTGACTCAGGTCTAACACTTTTTAAAATAGATCAATTCTATCATTTAAGACATTTAAATAGTAACCTCTTCCAAAATAATCTGAACAAGTAATACCGTATCAATAGCTGTTGAAAGTCACTACATTATTCTTTAATTTCTAAAAAAGATTTGTGTTCTATATTTTATGTAGTACTTTGCTTGTGTTAGATTCACTGACTAGTAATTCCTTCCCATATAACTTCTACAGAAAATTTAGAATCAGAATTTCTATTCCAATGTACAAAAGTATCTTTTAATTGACAAAAATGAACTCAATAACTACATCTGAATTATTTTTCTTAGGATCTTTAATTTTTAATTAGATCTATAATTACTTTAAAACAATTTTTTAAAATCTGGTTTAAAAAATATATCTCACATATTTAACACAGAATAATCTCCTTGGTTACTATTAAGCAACTCCAACTAAACTAAAATCAAATTCTAATTAAATGTTAGTTTAATCATGTAGAAGCCATCAAAACTATATTTGAAACTTATTTATCAAAGCCATTCAAGTAACTAGACTTTGCAAATTCTAACTGGTTTTACAAGATGATCATAGAAACTAAGCATATAGGCTTTTATAAGAAAATCATTCTTAAAAAATAGCCCACTTAATCAATATGACATATGGCAAGTTCAGTCTAAATATACTAATTCTATCTACAAGACAAAATGAACATTTTTAGGCCTCATGAATAAATACTGAATAACCTAGATTTAACTATTATTACAGAATGTGCCCTAAGGCAGAATATTTTACTTTCCAATCATTTTTAATGAGTAGTGGTTTATTATTACAATGAATATTTTCATAATAGAGGGGGTTTCTCAAGGGATGGTCAACAGAAAGTTGGACCCTCTTCCCCAGAAGTGGGGAGGGTAAAATCTGTTAAATTGCTACTTGACAAAACAAAGAAATAAACATTTCAACCACACAAGAATAGGCTTTATTATTTAAAATGTTTCAAACTATAATGGTAACAAATGGCTTTTGGATTATTAGGTCTGATTTATTTTCAGGATTATAATAAAAGAGGCCTACCTGTCCATCTAAAAGATCAGAATATCAACAGAAGAACAAGGTATCAATTATACCTTATTATAAATAAGCACAAATATTTTTCTTAGATTTTAATGATTTTAAGATTCATTAAAAGATGCATTTTTTAAAGATACACCCAAATTAAAAAAAAAAAAGTAACATGTACATGCTTATAACCCTGATTTGTAAAGGTTTTCTCTGAGGTCATTCACTAAACTACCATTAGGCTTTACCAAGTTATAAGCTTTTCATTACATAGAGCAAGGTCTCTATTTTTCCCTTCCTTTATGGTTTCTGTAATTCAATAATATCTAAAACCCACTTTATCTGCTTTTATAATCTCTGATTCTATCCCCTATGTATTTGTCCTAAAACATGTTAATGCACAGACTTGACTTTGTACTTTCTGCAGTACTCCTCAAACCCTGACAGTTTCTCCCATACAGAAGCAGAAGAGACTCTTTCAAGGAGACCCTTCTGACTGAAATGAACAGTTAAAGTGTAAGAAAGATGCTTTTCTCAGATCTCATGTTAGAATTCTACTTTCTTACCCTGCAGAAGCACAATTTAGCAAATTCTAAAAGATATCTCTCCCAATGGCAGCAGTAAGTTGAACTAAGAAACACAATATAGTAGTAGGGAAGCACAAGATGAGACCATGAGAAAGATAGAGAAAAAGAAAAACACAGCATAGCAGTTTAAAGAGTACAGCAGTATTTCTAATACTGCAAAACAAATACATGTAAATTATCATATATAAGGAAGAAGTAGGCTCAACAGCTGGATGCCTTCATGAGGACTTGTCATTGGGGAGGAAAAATATCCAAATTTTACTTACTAATATTGATATGGACTGTCTGCCTCAAGCTTCATGTAATTGTATCACAACAATACTATAATATTTATATAGCCCTTCAGAGCTTAAAAGATTTTTCATGTGCTTTCATTTCATTCTTACAACAATCCCATCAAAAAATGGTATTACCACTACTTTACCGATGATAAAATTAGAACTTAAAGAGATTAAATTACTAATAAACAGCAAAACAGTAAATTTCAATTATTTAAGAAATAAAATTTAAAATTCAGTTTCACAGTCACCCTAGCCACATTCAATTGCTTGATAGCCCCATGTGGCTACCATATTGGATAGTCCAGATATAGAATATTTCCATTATCAAAGAAAAATCTCTTGGAAAGCACTGAGTTAGACATCACTTGGATCTTTTGTTCCTCATATTCCTTTATTCTAGTCCTAATCATTTAATAAAAACTAAAATGGTTAAACAGGTTTCTTCTCTGATGAAGAAAGAGCTATGTTGACTAAGTATGTAATTTATAGTTTCTTGACCATGTAATTTATAGTTTTAGTAAATGAAGGAATCCTCCTTTTTTTCTATGAGCTCAGACACTTGCCTCTTCACTGCAATCTGTTCGGACAGGGTAGAAGGCCTATAGACAGAAGGGTGTCCCACTCCTACAGGGCTCAGGACTACTGTAATATGCTACTGTAATAGGCACAATCCTAACAAGGTGGTTAAGTGAAGTTTAAGAAAGTTTGCCAAATGGAATAGAACAAAGCTTTTCTTTAGCTGGTAAATCATATTCCCCCCATTAATTAAAAAAAAAAAGTTTTTCAGAATACAGAGTATAAGAGCAACTTAAAAAAAAAACTCACCTGCATGTAGAAAGAGGAGCAAACTGAACACCCTTTTCTTTGCATTCCCTTGTTATTCTTTCTTTTACGTTTCTACAGAGATCTACAACCCTAAAAAAAGATAAATGAATACAATATAAGTTTTCAAATGAGAACCACACAAATTCAATAAATGCTGCTTAATCTGATATCTGTCAAGTCCAAAATTCTTTTAACTAGAGCTTTCAGTTATTCCTTCAAAAACTGACAAGAGCCTGGATCATTCAAATTGAGCCCTTCATTCTTAATGTCAAAGGCAACAAAGTTCTTTTCTTTGCCATAAGGAAAACAGAAGTTAGAAGGGCATATTCAAGTCTCCTGAATGCAGTTTCCTATAACTGAGAAAACTTGATTTCAAAATAAATTTAATTACAAGATTTTAAGAGCTTTAAAAAAAAGTTATAACAAAAGTTAATGAAAATTCAACTCTAGGTTACAAGAATGCCAATCTTTATCCACATCCAAGTAGTTTTCCTTAATTTAAAAATAATTCAATTAATAATCAAGATGTTATATAAAATGTTCAACAGCCAATTCTCAAGCTGAAATCCCATTTGACAAAGACTTATTGAACAAAAACTATGTGTAAACTGTTAATGTACATGTTAGACTGTCTGACATTAAAAGTCAATGAAAACAGACAGGTGAGGGATAGTAATAATCCTTAAAAGAAAAAAGGAATTGACAATATTTAACAATATTAATCTATTTTAATTAATCTATTTTTCAAATGTTAGCTATACCATATTGCTATAACTATGTATTTTGTTTAATTGGGAAAATAAAATTCTTAAAGTATATATAAACCATTTCAGTGTCCAATAAATATCTGGGCCACATACCAACACTGATTCTGTACCTTTTTAAACCTTGGTCTGATTAGCATCATGAGAATTGAAATGATAGCAAAGAAACTTAAAAGGCCTATCTCTAGTCCCAAAATTGATTTGACTGTATGAAAACTAATTTGATAAAAACAATAACATTTGAGCAGATCATGCTTTATGCAACACATTAAAGTTACCTATATGTTAGGTAAGAATAAAAATATATGATTAAAATACAAATACAAATGGGGTTTTAGTGTTTTATTAGCATATCAAATTTTTTATTTTTATGAATATAGTATCTGAAAGTTTTATAAATTCTAATTTTACAAAACAGTGCTCTTAAGTTAAAATCTGCTTTAATTTATGAGAGCTGCAGGGAAACATGATTTATCAATGTTATCTATGCATCATTTATAGAATGGTAATGATGCATGTTTTAGAAAACATCTCAAAGCATTTATTGATATTTCATGTCTTTATTTTGAAATTCCAACCAATAAAACAAATCTTTAAACATAAATAAAAGGCCGGGCGCAGTGGCTCACGCCTGTAATCCTAGCACTCTGGGAGGCCGAGGCGGGCGGATTGCTCAAGGTCAGGAGTTCAAAACCAGCCTGAGCGAGACCCCGTCTCTACCATAAAAATAGAAAGAAATTAATTGGCCAACTAATATATATATATATATATATAAATCAGCCGGGCATGGTCCCTTGAGCCCAGGAGTTTGAGGTTGCTGTGAGCTAGGCTGATGCCACGGCACTCACTCTAGCCTAGGCAAGAAAGCGAGACTCTGTCTCAAAAAAAAAAAAAAAAAAAAAGTAAACATAAATAAAATCTACTAAGCTTTAATATCTATTGATATTAATACTACAAATTTATAAAAGTAACAAGTTCTTTATCTTGGCACTAGAAAATGGAATTTAAATGCTACAGATAAGTAGTCTAACAAATTAAGAATAAAATTCATCAGCTTTTATACTACTTTGCAAGTTAAACTACTCGATGGACTGTATATCTCCATTTAAATGCACTTACATGTACCTAATCATCACAAATGGAATAGAAAACAGGAACACGTTAAGAATTGCTTATATCTAAACTTTCACTGGAGTTGAATAATGAAAAGAGATGGGAAAAAGAACAGGACTGAATGGTTATAATCCCCAATGCTTATAATCCCCAATTCAACAAATGATTTTTAGGGAGGAGTTCTGAAAAGTATTTTCTCACAGAACTTGAGTAAAAGTTAATATGGCCCCCTTGGACCAATCATATTACAGGATATAAACATAACTGTGTAGATTTTTAAATTCTTTCTTGACCCATTAGCAAATTTAACACTGTTGACCATATCCTCCTCAAAACAAACTTCCATGGGCTTTTCTCATATCACTGGATTTCTTCCAAATCCTCTAGATATTATTCCTCAGTATCCTTTGCCAGCTTTTGTTTATATGACTACCCCTTATGAGGTTCTCTGGGAATTCTTGCTTAGGTCATCTTTTTTCTCCTTCACTCCATACTATCTGTAAGTGTTTGTACCCACTTTCTTGATTTTAATCACAAGAATCTCACTGGTGTCTCCAAAATCTTTAAAAATCTCTAACTTTTAAGATAGCTATAATCTCAAATTATTCCAGAGTTCATGCATAGGACTCTATGCAGAATATTCATTGTACTATGACAACTAAAGAATGTGTCACTTAATAACACACAAAGACTAGTAAGACCAATAACCCTTTAAGTGGCTTATACATGAAAAGGCCAATGACCTAATAATGTATGAAGGTTGAAGACCCTGATCCCATGGGCTACTGCTAAACATGGTCTCTATCTAGCTAAAGGATTAAAAGAAAAAGCAAGTTACTAAATGGCTAACAAGTAAATTTTATGTCAAAACTGTAGCTGCTTTCCTTTAATGTTATAGTATTTATTAAAACTTCAGCTGAAAAATTGTTTTAAATGAAAATAAAAATGTGAATGAAAATGTGAATGAAAACAGAAATGAAAACAAAAATGTGAATGAAAACAGAAACTGTCAATCAATTAAGTAAATATGTAAGTATAATATAAAAAATGGAAGAAGAAAAATAAAAAGCAGCACATGATTAGCTTCCACAGTTGGAAGAATAAAAAGACAAGATGTCAATTGATGACAAGGAAATTCATAATGCTGAAAAGGTAACACTACACTAAGCCATTTTCCCCAGTGAAATGAGCTAAATGTTTGTGCCCCTCTCAAAATTCATATACTAAAATCCTAAGCCCCAATGTGATGGTATTAGAAGGTGGGGCTTTTTAAGAGGTAATTAGGTCACGAAGGTGGAGCCTTATGAATGGGATTAGTGCCCATTCTCATAAAAAGACATGAGAGGGCTTGCTTTGCATCTCTGCTTGCCACCACGTTAGGATATAACAATAAGATGGCGAACTATACACCAGGAAGAGGGCCTTCACCAAAAACCCAATCATGATCTCAGACTTTAAGCCTCAAGAACTGAGATAGAGATGTTTCTTGTTTAAGAACATTTAAGCCACCCAGTCTATGGTCTTCTGTATAGCATGTCAAATTGACTAATATATCCAAGGAAAGGTATTAAAGACTAAAATGGTCTTTGAGACCACCATGAACAGCTGCCAAACTATTTCTGCTATTCAAAACTATCAGATGTCTATGAGTTGGTAATTCTTTTCATTTACAAGATTTTTCCCCTTGTTAAAAAATTTAGCATCCAAAAAAGAAAAAAAAAAAAAAATTTAGCATCCAAAATTATGAATAACATTTCAACCTGAGAAAGTTGATTTAAAAATGAAAAAAGAAAAAAAAATCACGAGTAACAAAGTGAAACTATAAATTAGGTTACTATCTAACACAACGCATGAGATATGAGCACCCATGTGCCAAAGTCATAACTCATAGTAGATAAAGACTTCATGTAGAAAAGCAAAAAGTTCTCTGGGGGGAAAAAGAAGTAGGAAGAAAACAAAATGTTAAGATATGCAATATCTAAAATAGGATTTGTTATATCCTATATTCTTTGTTGTACATTTCAAATATTTTATAAATTTTATAAAGAAAAGGTAAAATGTAGGCATACTAGAAGAAAATAAAAATATACAGGTTGAGTATCCCTAATGAAAAAATCTAAAATCTGAACATTTTTGAGCGCCAACACGATGCTCAATGGATATGCTCACTGGAGCACTTTTAGATTTTAGATTTTTGGATTTGGGAATCCAAAACAGTTTTGGCCCCAAGCATTTCAGATAAGGGGTACTCAACATGTACTGACAATCTCCTTGAGAATGTTTTTATTACTGAATGATTAAAAACTCACAAGTATATTTTGAACAAACCATTTAACATTTCCTAATCAGTTTTTATTATTAATTCTCTAACCAATATGTGTGTTTGTGTGCATGTGTGTGTGGTGTATATTTCAAATAAAGAAACCCTTCTAAAATTTATTTCCATTAATCTTATTTGGGCCATTCTTATAATATGTTCCAGTATTAGAATTCTGCTTAAATTTAAAAATGGAAATTGACCTTAATTTCTTAAATTGGATTTCTTTCTTAACTGCAAGTTAAGATCTTACTTAATAACACACATTTATCAAAAAATAAATGATATATTACAAATGAAGGTTACCTGGTTTTATAATTTGGGGGCACTTTTTAGAGAACCTTTAAACATATTAATCACTTAAGAATTTAAGTAAAAGCTAAGTAAAACCACATAGTAACATTTAGTGTTCAATAAGATGCTTCAAAACATAAACTTCAAAAATATCTTTGCAGTTTGGATAGCAGACAAATTTGCCTCAAACAAAAATAAGGCTTGAAAATACAGCATTCCTATGAAGATATTAGTTTAAATAAAAATAGCTATCTTGTTTCAATGTTTCTTTATAAAATTTTTGAAGTTAATATGTCCACAAACCAAGAAACATTACTTTAAGCAATTCATATAGCATATTTGAATAATATCAGGTATTTATATTTTACCTGTCCCAAGGAGCAGAAGTCTCAAAAGATTCTCCTAATACATAGTATTCCAAACCCAAGTCCTGTTAAGACACATAGAAAACTCAAGCAATTGCAACAGATGCTGAAGAACCAATAATACTGTTAGTATTTCATGTTCACTGTCAGTATTGTATGTTTCGAATTTAACTTTGACTGCTCTTTACTATTCACCTCATAAGAGTGCTGGAAAGTTGCCCTGAGAGTGAGATATAACCTCCTTGAGGACAGGAATCTTGCCTGTCTTATACTCCTCTGTATTCTTGGCACCAAGTAGAGTGCCTGACGCAGGGTAGAAATTCTATTTCTCTAGTGAACGATGTCTCTATCTAGGAACAGTCTCTATATATGAAGAGAATACTAGAAGAAAAGACTTCTTTTTTTTTTGGCCTAAATAGCAACTTAACCAATATCAAAAACTGGTCCTCAAGATTGAAGGAGCAAGAGGGTTTGGAAGGATAGGGGTATAGAAAGAAGAGAAGTTTTTTTTCTTAAAATCAACTTTTCTTTAAAAACAAATTTAGAAAATATAGTTCCTCTCTTTGAAGTGAGAGAATACATAGAAGATCTGGAGGCACCTCTGCTAGGAAAATATTTTCTATTGTACAAGATATAATACTTATATTATATGTACCTTATAATACTTAATTTCTTTACCCATATAAATTTATATAAGAATTTCTTTTAAAACAATTTCCAAGTGAAAAACTAAAAAATTTAGTATTTGCAAGTGATGGATATCCCAATTACCCTGATTTTATCTTTATACATTATATGAATGTATCCAAATATCACATATACTCTGAAAAGATGTACATCTATGTTTCAATTTAAAAAATTTTTAATGATTAAAAAAAGGAAAATTTAGTATTTGGGGAAGCCACATTCTCAGAATATCTGAACAATGACCTTTTAGAATAAGATCATTCAAATTATATAAAAGGGGAAATAAAAAAAAAGTAACCACACCAACAACAGAAAACAATTAAGAAACTTGAGTTTGTTACAACCAAAATAGAAAAACAAAACTAAATGAAAAAATAAAACTTCAAAGGAACAATTTCAGATAAGTACAGCAGACTTGAAGTTAATAAGAATAATAAAGTTTCTCATAGTAGAAAATCTAGAATTAGAAAAACTTTAGTGCTCAAGTACACATCTATTATTTCTTTAATTCTACACAGTAATCATCACCAAAGAACCAATAACTACTTGGAATCATGTTAAATATAAACTTTAAAAGACACAGTTAAAGATTTGTATATCTTTAAAACAGATTATGAATCAAGTGAGGAATGCTGCTAATAAAACAGCTTGATTCTAACCAAGTAATGTTAGGAATGGCATGCTCAATTTTTAGACAGAGAAGGGCTCCATTCTTTTAAAGAGCACAAAGACATATTAAATCTGCTGTTCCTAACCCCCAGGCCAAGGACCAGTACCAGTCCATGGCCTGTTAGGAACTAGGCCATCCAGCAGAAGGTGGGGGCAAGAAAGCGAGCAAAGCTTCATCTGTATTTACAGCTGTTCCCCATGCTCATTACAGCATAAACTCCACCACCTGTTAGATCAGCGGCAACGGCATTAGATTCTTATAGGAGCCCAAACCCTACTGTAAACTGCCTACGTGAAGGATCTAGTTTGCACGCTCCTTATGAGAATCTCATGCCTGATGATCTAAGGTGAAGCTGAGGCAGTGATGTTAGCGCTGGGGGGTGGCTGCAAATACAGATTATCATTGGTAGCAGAGAGGTTTGACTGCACAATAAATGCAATGCACCTGAATCATCCCAAAACCAGCCCCGTCAACCCAGTCCATGGGAAAATTGTCTTCCATGAAACTGGTCCCTGGTGCCAAAATGGTTGGAGACCGCTGTATTAAATCATCTTCAAGTTCCTCGGAGGCATAAACAGAATGTTTAAAGAGCTTATAAAGATTCATAGCTAATCTAGGGTTCATGTAAAATGATGTGCTAATTACAGTAGCTTAAAATTTAAGAAAATAAAAAGACAATTTTATTCAAAGTCAAGAAAAAAGTATTGTCTGTAACATAAATTAAGTGATTAGGGAAATACATGAAATAACTTACTCGAATATACGCAATGACATAGGTCAGTAAATAACCTCTCTGTCCATTATCTTCTCCAGCTGCCAACCCACTGTAATTACAGAACAAACTATTAATACGTTTCAAATGAACAATTGCAAATATATAAAATTAACCAAACTGATATGATACCTCAAGACAACTGCTTAATAGATTAACATATGTTACATCTTATTTTTTCTTAATCTCATTTATCATAAATATATCAAATGACACCATTAAGACAATAAGCTTGGATAGCAAATTAAAACTGAAAACACTTTTAGTATTTCAGATTAGTCATTCATTGCAAACTTTTATCCACTAGACTAATAAAACTGACTCTCATGAACTCAACTATTTCTACCCATATTCTCAGAAGAACAGAAACAGAATTAATCATGAGAAACAAACTTAAATACGCTGAAATAATCTTCACAAGCATAAGATACTTAAAATATTCTTTTATTCATATTATATTCTTATTCATATACTCATATATTGTTACAGTCTTATTCATATATAAAGAAATGTGATGATTGATTAGGAACTTCCAAATACCAACAAGTTTCTTGAATATTTGAGCATATAGCATTTGGACTGTTAAATGTGGTGTGTATCTTATGAAATTTATGAGTTAAATGAGAGACAAAACATACTCAGAAATATTAAAGTTTATAAAGCAATATACAGAAAGCATAAGACCAACCAACAAGTAAAGTCTTATTACTATAAACATATAAACTATCCCTTTCAATTTGAAAATAGTTTATCCATAGAAATTGTATTTGATGATCTAGTTAGAATTAATCATCTCATATAATTCAGTTCAAGGACTCTAGTTTGTAAAAGTTATTCTTATTTTAAAAAATGATGAGTAAGTATTGTTTTCCACTACTTTGAGTAAAGAGTTTTTAATCATGCTTTTCCTATTGTCAAATAGAAATTAAACTTTCACTTTAGTCAACCAAAGGAAGAATTATAACTCTTACGGCCTCAATTAACACCTCAAAATTAAATCTTGAAGTTTTGTTTGATTGGTGGTAAGTAAATAATACAATGTAGGTGTATTCTTGTTCCATACAAATGCTGTAAGATAATTTCAAGCTAGAACACATAGGCTAAATCAGAATTTCCTGACACAATATTACACGTGGATATATATAAATTAGTATCATTCAAAAGGAGTAGTAAAGACTTGATAGAAACAGCTCTAGTCTGGAACAACTTGAGGATAAGGTATAATAAAAGGAAGGAGATTGTTTGTATTAATAGAATGTTTTGTTGTTTTTTAGAGATAGGGTCTTGATCTGTCACATACTGGAGTATAGTAGCATGATCATAGCTGACTGCAACCTCAAACTCCTGGACTCAAGGGAATCTTCCCACATAGGACAACAAGTGCAAGCCACCATGCCTAGTTAATTTTTCTTATTTTTTGTAGAGAAGAGGTCTCACTATGTTTCCCAGGCTGGTCTCAAACTCCTGGGCTCAAGCAATCCTCCCACCTTGGCCTCCCAAAGTGCTGATATTACAGGCATGAGCCACCGTGCTCAGCCTGTATTAATAAAATGTTAATGAGCAATGAAGACAGAATTTATGTCAATTCAGTAGAAAGTGAAAAGTAAGAAATGACAGAATGCAAGTCTGGGTTAGAGGTGAGGCTGGAGGCAGAAAGCCAAATAAAGTTCCAAAACAAAAGGAAAACAAGTCAAAACTGCTGTAGCAAGTTCTTGGAAGAAAACAGCTGAGCCCATGGCTTAGTTAGGTAGATTAAAAAAAACAGAGTCAGATTCTGAGTCCAAGACAGAAAAAATAGTACAGGTCTAGGAAACAAAAACAGTTCCTCCTGGACCTAGTGGTAGAAGTAAAGGAAAGAAGAGTGAAGATTTAAAAAGGTGCAAGATACCTATGTTGAGAATCTTTGAGAAAGGAACATGTTAAGTATGTATCTGGTGAGAAGTTAACAGGTATGAACATTTAGTAGGCCTGTCTCCATTACATCAGGATGCAACAAAGTTCTACTTTCCAGTCCCAGTTTAAGTCATTTTACTTTAGGCCCTCTTATAATATTTGACAGCTGGGGGTGGTGGTAGGGATAGAGGGGTCATCTGTTCCACAATGGGATACAGTGGAACAAACCACATAGAAACATGCATTTTCTAATTTAAAGCAGGAAGAAATTGGATGTCCATTCTAAATTCATAAACCCCAAAAGAGAAGAAAAGTCAATCTGGGCTTGCTCTTCTGAATCATAGGTTTCCCTGCAAATTTAGCTTTTTGAAAATTCTCTTTTTTTAGCTTTCAGAACTGTCAATCTTCTAGCTAGAATTATCTTAAAATACCATATGTAAATCACAGTAGGATTAGAAATTAAATGTTTCTAAATCATCACTTTTGCAATCACCCAAAAAGCTACACATAGACTCACACTGCTTTATATTAAAATAGCAATATCCACTCCCTACTTTCTGTTCTCTCTACAAATTTCAAACAATTTTCAAGTCACAAGGTTCTTAAACAAATTTAAAGCTGTTTCATGAGGAAGGACTGAAAAGACTAATGAAAGAGGAATGAGAGGCGATCTTTTTATATAAAAGGGCCATCTGGTGAACCTAATCATTCTCATGTTAAATTATATTAAACAACTTTAAGCACACTTTAAAAATAACGATAACATATTACCTTATGGTGAATGTCAAAACACCAGTCATAAGTGCTGACAGGTAATGTTTATTCTGTTAAGCACTTAGAGAAGCTGAAGTACATTACTAGCAAACATGGTTAAACAACCAAAGAATGATTATTCAATACTTGGCCACTATGTTTTGTTGGGCCATATATGTTCTTATGAGTGTTGGGGTCAGGAAGAAAAGGCAAGGAGGAAAAATGGCTAAGACTATACATAAAAATGCTCTGAACTGTTAGGAGTACTTTATTTACAACAATCCATTTAAAGCCAATGAAGCAATGGGAATAGAGGATGAAACAAAAGAAATTTTTTTAAAGGACAGCTTAATAATGCCCTAATTAAAAATAAAATAAATGAGCTAAAAACTAACATATGGAAACTTCAGCAGGAACAAATGATGTGGTGCTTTCCTCTGTCTGGTTATGCAGAAGGGGAAATGACTAAAGATTGAGAGTTGGCAGAGTGGCATCTTAAATAAGCAAAAATATCCCTAAATCTTCACTAATTAAAACAAAAAAATTAGTGCCTACAGGAAAACTGAGGGAAAACTAAAACTTATGCTAGAAAACCAAAAGAAGATATTTCTAAGTATTAAAAAACAAAATAGCCTTAAATCATCTGCCTAATTATAATTCGAGTTGTTCAAAACAGCAGATGTCCACATCTCAATAAAAGGAGCCAGGATGAAAGCACATTAAGAAATTAATCATAACTAAGAAGGAACAAATAATAGCAAAAAACAAGACACCCTAAATTGGGCCAAAGTTTTTAACACTTTACCCCTGCTTTAAATTGGACTCTCATATATTATAACCTATACATTTGATACAAATTCAGACAATCTTAGAAATAAAGGGCTCAGGAGTGGGGAACCTGTGGCCTTGGGGCCCTATATGGCCCTCTAGATCCTTGACTGCAGCCTTTTGACTGAATTCCGATTTACAGAACAAATCCTTTTATTAAAAGAGGTAGAGCAGAGAAAGATAACGCTTTTCTTGCCTCCACTGGTGCTTAAAAAGAACAATGTTAAAATCAGAAGGCTGTAGGTTTCCCACCCCTGTGCCCTGCCTGCAGCATGTATATGATATATTTTAATCCCTGGAATAAAAAAAAAAAAAAGATTAGTATTCAGAAAATTTTTAGTTTATGCTCTTAAAAAGGAAAGGAAAGGAAAAAACATAGTCCTGATAAATGGCATTTTCACTGCAGTTCTCATTAATCAATCTTATAATCCATCAAGCAGACAGACAGAAACCACCCTACCATTATTCAGTTGGTTATAGATGTGAAATGCTTTCTGTTTCTTTATACCAGCACAAAATAATAAATGACAGGAGGTGGAGTATATAGATTATTTATCAAATATCTTTGATTAAACATAATTTCCTTTTAAAAACACACTAATAGCATTCTTTATACATACACTATTACTACTAAAGAGTAATATAACAATGAATTTCCTATTTCACTCTAACACAAAAAATAATATCACAAAATTGACATTAAAAGTCTAGTAAAAATACAAGATATAGTAATATTATATATATGATTAGACAAGGAAGAACAACATATCAACCTAACTTCCTACAAATTTTGGAAGTAAACCAAAACAACACTTTAAATTTAATATCATAAATTACCATGAATTTAATACTAAATTTAAATTAATAACTGCTTGAAGACATGCAGTCTGCTAGGAGATATTAATGCCTGGTACATTAATAACTGTTTGGAGATACCAGAATTTTAGCTTAATCTTCTCTTGGTATTACAATTGAAGCCATACCCAAATTTTGCAGCAATGTCATACACTTGTTTTTCATGTTGAAGAACCTTCTCACGGTCCCCCTCAAACAGTAACGTGGCTACACTTAGTTGATTTGGATCAAATCCTTTAAACTACAAAAAAATAAGACATTATTACAGAGAAATCTTATCCTACAAAATCATAAATTAAAATAGCTTGCTCCTTAGGATCTGGGCTCAAATACACTAACTTCTTAAAACTTGAGCTTTAGAACTTTACATGTCAATCAATAAGAACGTTTAATGAAACTACTTAGGTTACTACAATATAACAAAACTACATAGCACAGGAAAAACACTTTATTTCAAAGTTGCCACGGTGTTACTCAAAATGACATATTGGTATGTAATGTAACAAATAAGTTTTCAAAATTGTAACTAATAAAGAATCAAATAATAACTATAAAATAATAAAGTAGCTGTATAAAGGGGGAAAAAACATCATCCCTAACATAGCAACAATAACTTCTTACTAAATAGTATTTTCAAAGGATACCTTATACAGAAAATTAAAATAGTTTAAGAATAATCTTAAAAGGAAACAACTTCATTAGGAAAACATATCTTTAAAAGGCAAGAAAGATATATGTTCTTGAATGCATAAACCTACAAACCTGTCAATACTTGTCCAAATTAGTGTACTTATTTATGCCAATTCTAATAAAAACCCCAATGGACTTTCTAAAACAATCAAAAGTTTCTAAAATTTTTCTAGAATAACAGGTAGGTGACAGTGATAATAAGGAAGATCCTGAAAAACAACAGGTAAAACTAGCCCTACTACAATTAAATCCATTTACTTTTTCAAGAACAAAAAGCTCCTTAAAAAGAATTAAAAGCTCATTAAAATGATGTCTATTTCCTGAATAAGAATACAAGAAGATGTCTTAGGCATGGCAAATCAATGTAAGAGAAGCCAGAATTAGTAAACAGTGCTCCCACAACTGGTTAGCAACTGGGGGAGCAGGAAGTAAAAAGATTTAGGTCTTTATCTTATATCATAAAATTGAAATAAATTCAAACAGTAATAAAAGAAGTAAATTCAAACAGTAATAAAAGAAGAAAATGGTCCTAGTCATACTTTTGGAGGAAAGAAGGCTTCACAAAAGCTTAGAAGTTATTAAATAATGACAAGATATAAAAATTTGAAACTTTTACTCCAAAAAGAAAAACTCCTATTAAAAAGGGAAGCACCTGACTGGAAAAAAAACTATAACATTAAAGACAAAGGGCATCCAATAATTCCATTACTCAAAGGACACGCATCAAACCATAGAGAAAAAATCATGAAACCACCACCCCTAGTAAAATAATCATATCCAACTAATTCACACAAAGATTACATCTAGAAAACACAGGGAAAATGTTCAGTCTCATTGAAGTTTCAAGAAACATCAACTAAAATAAAGTACTATTTCCCTCCCTAGTAAATTTAAGACAAACAAAACAAAAAATTCCACATGCAATAACAAGGATGCAACAAAAAAGGCACACATGCATTCCTAAGTGGCAGTGTAAGCTAGCATAATACTCTAGGAAAGCAATTCTGCAATCAAAGTTAAAAAAAAAAAATCCACACTCTTAGTTTACTTCTAGATATCTATGGCAAAAGAAAAACTTCAAACTACAGAAAAATGTTATAAGCATGAAACAGCTCAGTACAGTGTTATTTTTAGAAACTTCAAAAAACTGAAAAAGAATTAAAAATGTCTAAACTTCACTGCATGATTCACATACTTAATAAAATGTTTATTCCAACATGAAAAATAATAATTACAAAATGTATGCAGCAACATGGAAAAATATCCTTAAAAAAGGTGCATGTGAGGGCAAGAAAGCAGGAAGTAGGATTAACTAATTAATATACTAAGCCTTTAAAATGGTAGCATTTTATAAAAATTCTTACCTTTGTAATATAAAACTTTTTTAATCCATCCAAAAATGATGTAAAAATAGAGGAAACCTGAGGTTTAAGAGCATGACCTAAGAAGAGAAAAAAGTTTATGTTTAAATTAATAGCAAATTCTGAAAACCCACAAGCTACTTCGACTTAGTATTCTAAAAAAAAAAGTAAAAATTTTCATGACTTTCATAATTTTTTAAATCTCTGTTATTTGTATATATAGACTTACATTAAGATCTTCATCTTTTACCATTATCTTCTTTGAAAAGTCACAAACAACTTTTTATTTAGAAAACCCATTCTCGGTTTGTTTGTTTTTTTTTAAGTCAAATTGCTATATGTAATTAATACTACACATAGTTTAGGTTATCTTTCAATGGTATGGTTTATACCTAGTAAAACTACTTCATTAATTTTTATTTCATTAAGAACACCCATGGTGGTTGGTTTTACTTTTATTTTTTTTAATTATACAGAAACCATTCAGAACTATAACCAAACATGAAGTTAATGCCAAGTTTAAGGTTGTTTCTTAATTAATTCTTAATTCATCCAGAATTCTTGGCATAAAATTAGCAATTGCTTCTTTAATCACACCCGGAGAGTTAAAATTGCCAAAATAACATAAACGGTGTCTCAGAATCTGTTAAATTAACATCTTTGCCTGCGGATTAAGCTTAATTGACTGAAAACCTTTTACTGTTTTCTCATTGTTTTCAGAGTAGCAACTTCTGAACTCCCACACTGTTACAATTTAAGAGTCATGCATCTGGCCTCAGTGCCATAACCCAATTTAGAAAAATGTGGCATGCCATTTATACATAGTTTTTATAAAGAATTTTAGTATTTAGTAAATCTAAAATTATCTCTAAATAAAAAGTTTATTTTTAAAAAAAGGCTTTAAGATTATGGGATTTTGTTTTTCAAGTGTAGTTTGTTCCTTTTCTTACTTTAAAATAGGTGCAAACAACAAACAGCTGTTTCTAAAACAACTATCACCAGTAGTGTTTTCCTATCCATCTATTTTTTTAAGTGAGAATCTGAATCTGTAATACTCCTTATTTACTACATTTTTGCTGAATATAATAGGAAACTGTATTACATAAAAGACTGGGTATTAAGGCTTTGAATTACTCCAACCCTGACAAGGAACTACTACTCTCTGGGGCCTGTTAGGGACCTGGTGCAAAGATGCCTGCACCCTCCCCCTACCCCCGACTCTGCCAGCCCCCCACTCCGCCAGCCCCCCACACTCCCTCAACCCCCCCTCCTCCCAATCAGTGGAAAAACTATCTTCCATGAAACTGGTCCCTGGTGCCAAATAGTTGGGGGCCACTGCTTTAAAAGACACAATTTCCAAAAATAAGGGGGAAAAAAAAAACAGACACCATTTCTAATTTGTATAAAGTTAGAAACAATGTATCATCAAAACGTTCACTTCTGATCTCAAATAGAACTCACCCTACATTAACAATTGGAAATAAATATATAAACATTTACGTGTTGAATGGGTATGTTGTATTCTTGGCAAGGAACTGAAATTATCTACTGTTCATATGAAAGTCTTCTGACCCACATATCTTTATATAACGCATGAGGAGTTCAAATAATGCTACTCTGATATGAAATAATCTTTAAGAGTAAATGTTAAAAAAAAAAAGAGTAAATGTTTACCACCCATTGCGATTTATATGCACAATTTCCATTTAATAGCGGAAGTTAGTCATATACATCCCTAATACTTGGTTGACATGACAGCTTTGAAGAATAAATTATCGTGAAAGTGATAGTGACTTTTAAATGGGTCAAGCATTAGTATTAACTAAAGAATATTGGCCAGGCGCTGTGGCTCACGCCTGTAATCCTAGCTCTTGGGAGGCCGAGGCGGGCGGATTGCTCAAGGTCAGGAGTTCAAAACCAGCCTGAGCAAGAGCGAGACCCCGTCTCCACTATAAACAGAAAGAAATTAATTGGCCAACTGATATATACATATATAAAAAATTAGCCGGGCATAGTGGCACATGCCTGTAGTCCCAGCTACTCGGGAGGCTGAGGCAGAAGGATCACTCGAGCCCAGGAGTTTGAGGTTGCTGTGAGCTAGGCTGACGCCACGGCACTCACTCTAGCCTGGACAACAAAGTGAGACTCTGTCTCAAAAAAAAAAGAATATTATCTTTTACTTTTTTTTAGATTAATGTTGCCTATCAAATTAATTATCTTCTAAATGTATTCTGGCTATTGTGTTTTATCTTTATAGTAAATTAGTTCCAAATTTACTGGCTAGACAATTTTGATTAGTGAATCTTGTGTTAGTTCAATATTAATTAATTAATTTAAAATTTATTAAATATTTATGTTTCAAAGAAGTGGTTTGAGATAGTGCAAAGAGTCTTGGGCTTTGCAATCAGACAAATTTGGGTTCAACCCCAGCTCTATCCCATGACTTGTAGTAGGCCCAAATATTTAGCCTTTGAGTCATTTATAAAATGGGAATACAACTTTGAAGAACTGAGTAGAATTTGATAAAGTGTGCTACTGATAATGTGTTCAGCACTGTGATCTCACCTATCCAGGATTTGTTCACCTGCTTTTGCCAGTATGATGATTAATTCAATCAACATGTGTCTATTATAAGTGCAGGAAATATAAAAATGACTAAGAAACATTCTTTAAATTTGTGAAACTTTAGTTTACAGAGGAAATCAATAGATCATTTCAATATACTCAATGATATATATCATTTCAATATTCTGAAAATAGATAATTTCAATGTTATAATGTATTAGGGTTGTACCAGAGGTGGAGGTGATATAAAAATATTTACAACCAATCATATGGCTTGTGCTTTGTTAACAACCAATATGACACAAACACTGACCAATCAGGCAGATGGGTGGGTGCAGGGTCCTGGACACCTCCTGCTGTGCTAAGCATTATTTCTTTAGTTGCTTGATCATGAGCCATGGTAGGATATATAGATGGAAAGGCTTCAATGAATACTGAGGAATCAAAAAAGGCTATAGACAGCCAACGAGCATGATCAGATCTGTATTTCAAAAGGATCACTTTGGTAGCTAAAAGGCAGAGGGAGGAGAGACAGTCAAGACTACAGAGGGCAGAATCTACCATTGAGCTAGAAGGGAGTGTATAAACATGTTTCTAGGTATAGGAATGAGAATGTGGAACAGGAATGACAGATGGTCAGGAAGATATTTTCTTTAAACTTTCATTTTAAATTGTTACAGGTCCCAATTATAAGTAAAATCTGACCAAACCACTGTTAATTTTACAAAGGTGCCAATGTCTAACATAATTTTTTATAATAACATATAAATAGATAACAAACATAGTTTTATTAATTAGATATATAGCTCTCCTTAAGACCTAGATTTCCAAATACAGGCCAAAACACACTGGTGATTGATTTTCATCTGATTTAACTATTTCATTATTTATAGGACACATTTATCTTAAACTTTTGTTCATCAGTAGTATACAGTTTTGAAAGCAGTTTACTTAAGAAAATAAATAATTGTGACTGACTTAGAGGAATCTAATTTTAAAACTAACTTTCTTGATATGTCATAAACATATCAAGTTAAGTTTCAATGTATCTATAATCACATTTCCCTATATTAAAATCTAAGCTACTTTTAGACATGACAAACAAAAGCTTGCCTGCTTACCCTTTATCACTTATTACTGAGCAATTACTCCTATGATTTCAGGAACTGTTTTGAAGATATTTATTAAATTCTATAAACTTAAATCCCAAAGTAAATTTCAGAATTTGAAAAAGATACAGAAAAAATAAAATTAATTCAAATGATGATAAATAAGTTGTGTCAAAAAGTTTAATATTTTAAACAAAATAGAGAGAAAAAGAAAAATGACTTCAGATGCTGCCTACTGAATTCTCCACCTAAATATCCCAAAGGCACCTGTATTTAACAATCTGTTGTAATATCTTTTCCCCAAAACCTCCACCTCTTCTTCTATCCTGTTATTTAATTCACCCAATCAACCAAATCAAAATCTGGGAGATGTCCTTAACTCCTCCCTTTATTTAAACTTCCATATCCAGCTGGCAAACTGATTTTTTGAAAATCTGTCCTCTACTCTTTATCTCCATTGTTGCTGACTTGCTCAAGGCCTCCAAAATTTGCCTCTTACTGTTTCACCACCTATTACCCCTCCTTAGTGGCTGTACCCTCATAATCTACCATGCACAATGCTGCCAGAATGAGCTTTCTAAGATGTGACGCTGACTGATTTTATTCCTTCTACACAGAATTCCCACTGCTAACAAGATAAAATCCAAATCTATCCTGCAAAGCCATAGTCCACCCATCCAATTTTATCTCATGTAATAACCTTCACCATACCCTCTATTTGAACCATATAGAACTATGTGAAGTCTCCTAAAACACACCACTGAGGTTTCACAACTTCGTATTTTTGCTGACAAGTGAACAAATTTGGTAGGGCAGAAGAAGAGACAATCTCAAGAAACCTTGATTCACTTTTAAAGATTTAGCTCACACATTGCTCTCCATTAAAGCCTTTCCTGACTTTTCATCCCCACCTCAAGCAAAATTAAGTGCAATCAACCACTCCTTCACCTGTAGGCCACCGTATCCAGTGTAGGAACTATGACATTCTTTCTAGCTCTCTGTTCAGTATTCTTCCCACTGACGTTTTGTAAATTTTTGTGGCTAAATAAACTGATTTTAAAATTAGCACTCCTTACTTACCAAACTGAAACTGCTTGTTGTCCATGAGGCGAATAGATGCAGGAGCACATCTCTGTTTAAAAAACAGAAAAAGATGTGACACAAATTTAATATAGTTAGAAGCTAGACAAGTAGAATACGAATATTATCTTTCTGTATGTAAGATATCAAGAGCTTAGTTCCTAAAGATATACAGAGGAGAAGAATCTTAACTTTTATATGATTTTATGAAGATAAAACATCAGTCGCTTCTATAAAAATTCAGAGAGGAGAAATCTATATGCATAATATATAAAATACATACATTACATAAGTTACCAGATCTTTAATTTATTGGCAATAAAATCTGCTTATTGCCTAGCAAAGATTTATGGGAATATCCTAAAAGAAATACCATGCCCTAAAGTGGATTATTTTAGAAGTAGAACTTTTAAAACTAAAATCAGTACCTCAAGTATTATGCCACATATGAACTATTTTGTGTCATCAGGTTCTTTGAACAGTTTTAAAATGAGGAAGATGGCGGTAGAAATTCTTATGTGACAAAGCACTTTTAAAAATTGGCTACAATGTCTTCACAGACAATTTTAGGAATTGTTTTTTTTGAATCCCTTTTCATAGTCCATTTTAAACAGAAAAACTATCCAGTGTCCAGATTTCTAAGGTCTTGGGTTACTTATGTGAAAATAGCAATAAAACTCTGAAATATGATATTATATTTCTAAAATATCTAAAACTCCACCAATATTTTATTTTTCTAGGATCACAGTAAAAGTTGCAAGGAAAAAAGACTGAAAGAAGCAGATATTCATATTAATTTTGAGATGACAAAATACTACAAACACTAACAAGGTTTGAGTTAGCTACGATTTCTCCACAGAATTAAAGTGAGTTGAGCTAAACCCCACATGGGATTTTTGTTTTCTATACAAAGTTTTAACATGGCTAAACTTCTACCAAGGAGTTGCTTTCAAATGACAAATGACAAATGCCATAAACTTTTTAAACATTTATCTTCTGAGTAATAACATTATTTATAAATAAAATTTGTATTATAACAAATTTCCGAGACTCACTCAAAAGAATAACATTTAATACACACCTTAACTATGCATTATAACATTTGGCTATTATTTGCTTTTTAAGTGAACAAATATTTAATTTTTATAAAAACACAGTATATATTTTATTTCACCCAATAAAATAACTAGACAGATTTTATTCTGAAGACAATTTATTCACCTCTGATACCAAAGATGAGACAATCTACATTTAAAAAATCACTGCCAAGTCTAAGGAAACAGTATTAGATAATTTTATATACAAGTTATAACAATAACCTATCACCTTACATTTTAAAGAATCCTGTGGTTTCCAAGTTGCTTTCATAGTTCTTTAATATAATAAACAACCCTGCCAGAGTAGCAGAACTGGTATTATCCCCATTTTACAGATGAGGACACAAGAATCAGAGAGGTTAAAAGACTTGCCCAAGGTCGGGTAACTTTAAAAGTAAAGGTAGAAGACGAACATATCCTGACTGTTAGATGAGCATTATTCCAAGTACACCACACAGGCCCCACCCCCAAATTAAAACATACACATATACAGCTTTAAAGTCATATTTGAAACACAAATTACATTAAAACAATTTTACTTGCTACTTCTGGTGTTATTAAATGTATAGTAGCTAAAAATAAAATAAATTTACAACCTGAGTAATTTCAAATCTTGGTATAAAGGTATCTTTGTAGTTAGGTTAATGCTTCTAAAAACATTACCAGTTTCCAAAATACTAAAGGAAAATCACTTTTCTTCACATTTACAAATCTGGAATGTTTTTAATAAAATGGACACATTGACTTCTAATAAAATATACAAAGTCTGATTAAACCAAACTTCCTTTCTTCATAAAATAAACAGCATATCCATATAACATACATATTTATATGTTTTAGCTTAAGCATGCCAGTAAAATATGAAAGAATTCAGAGCCATTCTATCATTAAAAAAAATTTAAGTTCCTACCAACAACTTGTAAATTTCACCTCCTACTGCCAACCAGATTCTACTTCAACTTTATCAATGGCAGGTGTTTTTAATGAAAACGATCAACATAAGTACACATTTATCGGAAAATGGAAGAAATAGTAAATGTAGAATAGTAATTACATTTCTGTTGGTGTTTAATCTCTAAAACAATTAAAATAAACTATGTGGGCACTGATTAAATCTTGGTTTGCAAACACTATCCATAAAATATATTTTGGGGACAACTGGGATAATATTAAGGAATGAATATTAGGCAGCATTAAGAAATTACTGCTGATTTTCGTAGACATGATAATGGTATCGTGGTTATAAAAAACACCATTCTCCACCTATTTTCAGGAGATGTTGTTGAAGTATTTAGAGGTCAGGTGTCATGATGTCTACAACCTAATTTCAAATGGTACAGAAAACATACACACATAAAACAAATAGAGCAAAAAGTTAAGAATTGTTGAATATACAAAGTGGATATACAGGTGACCACTGTACTGGTCTTTCAAATTCTCTGTATGCTTAAAATTTTCAAACTCAAAAACTGGGAAAATAGTTAAAATTTAAAACTTACTTACTTACATACTTACTTACTTACTTACTTACTTATTTATTTATTATTTTGGCATATTATGGGGGTACAAGTGTTAAGGTTACGTATATTGCCCATGCCCCCTCCCCCTAAAACTAATTTAGCATGTTTAAAAAAACTCAAAAGATTGTCTTTAAAAGTTAGAGGCATCACAAATTCTGAGAATTTGAGCTCTAAATTCATTCCCATATTATTCAGTTATGCTGGGCTGCGAGTATTCCATAGACTTAAACGGGGGGATGGGGGGAGAGGTCCTTGAGTTAAAGTGACCCCTGCTGGTAGGTGATCAGAATTAAGCTGAGAGGGAATATTTTTACCAGTTTTACTTTTAAGAGAATTTGAGAACACTCAAACAAAAATTGCTTATTAAAACTGGAGTTAATGAAATTGTTGATTTCTTTCCTCTTATGATAAATGTACCTTTATTAGAATCTCTCATTTCATTTGACTTGTACCTAAATATATTTTATACTTAACAGTATGAAAAGTTATGAGAAACTTATAAAGAAATATCAATACCTTTTTTTTATTTGAACAATGAAGAAATAAATAACCAAAAGAACCTCACAACATGGGTATAAGATGGACTAAGTCAAATTGCTGGCAATTTCTTCCCTTTAGGGCTGTTATAATCAGGAATTTACATAACTATATAACCTGAAAAGTAAAAACTAACCACTCTCATTAGTCTTATTTACTTAGTAGTCTCTGGACTAACTTAAAAAGAGATTTGTCCATCAAACTATTTTACACACACACACACACACACAGAAATAGCCCCAATAAGAAACACATTAAAAGATTTCTACAAAATTGGTTTTTTAGAACTAAGTCATTGTCACAGAGAAAATCAGAAATTATACTTCAGATGAGACACTATTTGAGGTATCTTTTAACTGACTAGTTACTAGCAAAAGAAATTCAAATTAACATATATTTCAAATGCTTGCAGGATTTCTACTGTCTAACTTCTTAAGGATAAACTATAAAAGTGTAAGCACTAAATAGTAGTCCTGTATATCAGGTAACATTGCTAAGGAATAAATCATCTTTGAATTGAAAAGAGTTGTTTCTTCAAGGGGTAAATCAAACTTTCTGCACAGACTCTAGAACAGCCCAAATTCCTAAGCCTTAGAAACTATACTGAAGATAGTCTACTAACCTTCTCATTGTATCAGAAGCAATACAAAAATTTAAGCACAGAGAATATATCATAATATGCAATATCCTTAGTAATTACTAGAAGTCAGAAGTTAGGAACCACATCTAACTTGCATACTATCCATTGCATCATTTTAGCTATAAAATTAAGTGTACATTTCCTCACATAAAAGGCACACAATAAAATACTGGCTTACAGCTAGGAGTTTATACGGTAAATAACAATAACTTATTTATTTTAACAAGATAAGTATTGCTTGGTTTTAAAGAATAAAATAGTACATATTACAGAGTGAATATTTCCCTCCATTTATATTAAGGGTAAGGCCAAAAGTTTATACATACAATCTCCTAATTTTACATTTTTTTCAGTTTAGTAAAGGTAAAATAACTTGGTAGGAGTAGCTTCTAGTATAAAGCACATCTTAACTGTCCTCATTTTTCTGGATCACAATTAACCAAACATTTGACTAGGGTTATTCTCTTTGCTTCAGAGAAAGGAAATTATGAGACCAAAAAAAGCGATTTAAAAAGACAATTCCATTTTCTACATGTGACAAATATTCTCAAGAATTACTCTTGAATATAAAGAAGCTTTTAAGTAAGGTAAGTGTTAAGCCTAACTCCTTTAAATTTATTTGAACCCCTCCAGAATAAATTAAGTTTAAAACAGAACAATTCCTGAACAATTCTTCCCAAATTATGATCTCACACACACACCCACACCCCTTATCAACTTAAAATTGTTTAAAATAAAAGCAAGGGAAGGTAGAAAAGGCCATTCTTTGTCAAAAGGTAGTGAGAGAAAAGGCTGCCTTTTAATCTGTAATTCTAAAAACCTAGTTTTGAGAAGCTAGGTTTTACTTACTGAGAAGACAGTTTTCAGAGAAATGAGTATAATCCATCCCAAACATAGTCAATTTTTCCTCCTATTGTAATAAATGCTCCTCTAACGATATTACAAAGGAAAACTCCTAAGTTTTTATTGAAAACAAAAAGAAGTCCAAACTTTGTAAATTGCTTTTGAGCTTGTTTCAACACTAAGTTTTCCTTTTAAACCTTGTAAAAACACACAAATTTCCAAACAAATAAAAGAGAATGTTATGTTTGACACTGATATTCTGATTTAAAAATATTATTTCTCCTCCTCTTGAGAGGCTACCAGTAGGAAATTTATTTTCTGAGAGAGTCTTAAAATCACTTACCCATCTACTGAGTAAAGTTGGAGATTACTCTGGACTGCCACTTATGAGAAAGAATCACATAAATCTTCCACTAAATCTTCCTTTCTAGCTCCTCACAGGCAATGAAGTATTGATAGGGGACAATTCCTCACATGAGCAAAGATCAGATGAAAGACCCTAGTAGAATCCTTCTACTTTCAGTATAAGTTTGCTTAATTTATTTCCTTCAGTAAGAATAGCAATGAAAGTAGACACAGAGCCCACTTTGCTATTTGTGAACAGTCAAGTATGCTCCTTTCCAAAAGATACTCATCCAAAATACTGTTTCTCATTTCAAAATCAACTTAAGTCTGAAAATATTACCAAAAAAAAAAAAAAAAAGGAAGTGCTATGAAATGACAATGAAGAATTATAAGCAGCCAACTAATTATTCAATCAAGAATTTGGCACAATCATAAACCACGTACCATCTATTTTAATGGATCTTAATTCTCTTGCTATCAGCTGAATTCCAAATCCCAAATTGAACAATGACTAGTGCCAAAACCAGATAACTTTTTCCATTTTTCTTTTTGCCTGAGCAATACTGTTACAAAGGAGGGGAGCAAATACTTTACCACTCTTGACATATGAGATTTGTACATTCTGTAAACTAATATGTAAATGATCCTAAACCATTATAAATCCTTTTATACATTTCCAGGTAGGGTAAACATTAATGTCCCTCTACATGTACATTATCATAGAAGTAAAATATGAAGGTTCCCAAAACAATGTAATATCTCTAAATCCCAGTAACTATTCTTAGCAATTGTTTCATTTATAAGAGCAATACTTGAGAATAACATATTATCTAACTGGACTTTTTAATTAGTTTTGAGTCAGGCAAGCTTTCTGGTCCACAGTATTTATGTCTCTAAAAACTGTCCCTTACTAAGTACACAGAACCAAATTGTCCTAACTATAGACTAGAAAGGAGCTTTCTTTTTGACCTCCTTTTTAACCACACAGTGGCACTTTCTATCAAACATTATCTTTATTTACTCCAAGGTATATATCCAATAGAGTTCTGTAGAGTGAATTTAGATTATGGTCATTGAGTAAACATTCTTAGAAATTTTAAAAATAACTACAAGAGCAATTTTACTGATTTACACAAGGATGAAGGTAAATTCCATTGCCTGATTTTCAATAGCACAGGTAGCTTTTCTCTGTCACTTCCCCTCAGGGGCATACCAAATTGTAACAAAAACTGTGTCAGATTATACCAACTATTTATGTTTAAATCCAACATTTACATTCTAATGAAATTATAAAATGAGGATTTTGATATAGTTGTATATTACCTCTCATTAATGAAACCTAAGATAGATTTACATGCAAGTATTTGAGATGTGGAAAAGTAAATGGAACACTCAGGAAAACATAAACTACATACACCTCTACTCCAAAGATAATAAAACAATACTTCTTAATGAGTCTACTAAATCTGTGTTCTACAGAGAAGAGATATTATGAAGAGATAGAGTTGGGCAACATAGACTGAATATGATGACCTCATTAAGATCTTTTGTTGAAAAAAATAGATCAAAATTACTTTTATAAATTCCATGATTTTTCTAAAAATCTAATTTGGTATTCACGTTTATTTTGTCATAAAATTGGAGGCAAGAAATGGTTAATTAGAAATATGTCGTTCAAAACTAACGAGAGATGATATGAACTATATATCTTTAATAAAGTTTTCTTGAGGGATAGTTAAGCTTGACAAGGACAGAGGAAAAATAAAAGTATTTAACACAAAGGATAAATTACAATTCAAGTGAAAACACTTGAATTAAAAAAACCTCAATAATTAAGAAAGATCTGAAATTAACAAGAAAAACTATTTATGAAAACATTTGTTTTCATTTTATTTTTAAATTGGTCACCTTTTGGTTATTTTCTTTAAAAAAAGCCTCACTTCCCATTCTTCTAGGTATTAACTCACATGCAAAACCATAGGCTCTGCAAATAACTCTATTACTTCTTAATGCCTGGGTTATCTTAATTTGAAGCTACTTTCTTCTGTCTTTGAGTGGTAAAAGGTTTTAGAAACAAGTATCAGAATATACTTGAACTTTACTGCTCAGTGTTCAGACATTATTTTAGTATAACAAATACTATTTACTCCAAAAACTTATCTCCAATCCTCCTGCTTTAGATATTATTGCCTCATCATTTTAGCAAACATAGCATAATACTGTATACTCTAGCTCTCTAACCATAATATAATATTCCTAGAGTTCTAGTGAATTAGGAGCTCTTATGTGAGGACTTCAACTGCTAATATTCATTTCTGCTTTAACACTACCAAAGTAACTTGTCACAAGTCCAAGAATGTTCATTCCAGGACCATATTTCTTTTTAAATTCTCTCCCTACTCAGGAGTAGACAGACAATCAAGATTGTAACTGATATTCAGTCATTACTTTTAATTTCAATAAATGCCTTAATTTAAGATAGATTATAAATCACTTTAATTAATCATAAAATATCTTACCCCAAAATAACGTAAGAAACAGAACATTCAATAAAAGGCAGAGTCATTTGAAGCCATCAACTGAAGAACGTCTCTTACCTTGGCTTAAAATCATACAGCCCTCTTTAGACCAAGAAATAGGTGTCACAGCAATATAATTAGTAAAAGAAATAGCAACTGCACTTAAAGGGATGACTTTACAATACTATTTTCTCATATAGAACTGGGTAAAAACCACAAATGTAGCACAACTAAATATGAAGATATTTGTAACATATCACAATCAATTATGCAGAATTTTAAAAATATAAAAATATATATCTTCTTTTTATCTTTATTTATTTATTTTTTACCTGTTTTGCAATTTCTCTTAAACAGGCTACTCCTTGTTCAAAATTAGGGAAAGCTACCGAGCCATACTTTTGGTATTCAGGGACTGGTCTGATTTTTATTGTAGCTTCTGTTATTACACCAAGAGTTCCTGAAAGAGAAGGGGGAATAATCCAATATATCACATGACAATTTTCTAAATCATATTTAAATCTATTTATTCTATTAATTCATTCTACTATTCATATTTAAATTTATTTAATCTATTCTATCTGAGAAATAATGGCTACTCAAGTCTTTTTAGGAAAATGATTAAGCAAATTTTATAATTGCCAAAGAAAAGTTTTTGGAATCTACTTTTCTTAGTTATGTATAAATATTTTAAAATATTTTTAAGTAACTTTTCTCCAAGAATGTTACTTTTAAATGATTTTTAAAGTATTGCAACTTATTAAAAGAAAAAGAATTTGAAAAACAACAGGTTTTTATATCTTATCTATGTTCAGACAGAAGCTTATTTTGATATTTGTGCCTACTTTTACTTTCAAAACAATTTATTGGGCAAAAAGAACCTAACCTTAATGAGAACTTAAGATGACTTAAGAAATTTGCCTTTTTCCCTAACAATTAATAAAAGAAAAGACAAAGGCATTACTGAGATGCCCTTATAAGAAATAAACAAATAGAGATAAAATGGTTATCATAAATATCTAGCACAAGATGACGAATAAAACAAACATTTTTTTTCTTTATTATAACGGGAAGTAGGAGACTAATCAAGGAGGAAAAAGATAAGTTAAGGATAACCACATGGCCTAAATATTTATGCTAAAATATCTGAAGGGACATGATTAAAAACGATTATATTCACAAAGTCAAACTTTTCAAATCAGTGGTTTCTGATGTACAAATGGTAGAAATTAATAAGGCTATTAGTAAATTTTCTGAAATCATTAAAAAATAAAGGGAGAAATCTTTGAAATTGAAGAACTTAATTACAACACAAGAAATAAAAGGTATCACAAAATGTAAAGCTTCCAATAAGTTTATAACTAACTTGGCAATATATGATATGGGATTAAAACCTTCTATGAGTCCATGAAAAGTAAGTTATATTACATTAGATCAAAACATATTCAATATATATACATATGATTTCCTACTGAGACTACAAAATATGACCCTCTTATGACCTGTACGATCACAAAAGCTCTGCAACTTTGGCCTAACAAATATTTTAATATAAAAATAGGTAGTTTTATAAAATTTAAAAATGACAAAAGTGACTAAACTTTCTCTTTTAGCATTTTACTGAGCTATATTTACACATAATAAAATTCACCCATTTAAAGTACAAAATACAATGGTTTTTAGTGTTGTTTACAGATATGTGCAACCATCATTACAATCTAAGTTTAGAACATTTTTATCACACCCAAAAAGAAACCCATAATCATAAAAGTTATTCTCCATTTCCAACCCCACATCCTAGCCTTAGAGAACCACAAACCTATATTCTGTCTATACAGATTTGCCTATGCTGGACATTTAGCATAAAATGAATCTCACAATATGTAGCCTGTGACTGGGTTCTTTCATTTACTATAATGTTTCCAAGGTTCATCCATGTTGTAGCATGTATTAATATTTCATTCTTCTTTAACTGATAAATATTCCATTGTAAAGTATAACTCATTTTGTTTATCAGTTCTTCAGCTGATGGACATCTGGCATTCTACTTTTTGGCTACTACGAATGCTGCTGCTATGAATATACACGAGCCAGTTTTTATGTGGACATGTTTTCCTTTCTTTTGGATAAATACCTAAAGACTTTATTAGTTCCAGAAAAATGTTGAATCCCATTCTATGTAACAGTCTCCAGCCACCTCTTCACAAGGTTAAATTTCTGGCAAGTGCAGCTGACAGGTAGGGCTCACTTCTTGCTCCCAGCCTCAAATGGTGGGACAAATGCATGTCATTAAATATTATCAAAAAAATAGAGAGAAATTATTAAAAAGAACCAAATGGAAATTCAGGAAAAGTATAATAACTGGAAAAGTATAATAACTGAAATGAAAAATTCACTAGAGAGGCTCAACAACAGATGTGATCTGGCAGAAGAAAAAAATAGCAAACTTGAAGCAAACTTGAAGATAGATAAAAATTATGCAATATGAAGAACAAAGAGAAAAATGAATGAAGAAAAATGAATGGTGCCTCATAGAAATGTAGGAAACCATTAAGCACACCAATTTATGTTTAACAAGAGTGCCAAAAGGAAAGGAGAGAGAGAATGAAGCAGAAAATATTTTTCAAAGAAAGACTGAAGACTTTCTAAATATATTAAAAAACACTAACCTCTACATCATGAAGCTCAACAAATTCCAAGTAGTATCAACACAAAGATATCCATAAATAGGCACATCATAGTAAAAATGCTAAAAGTCAAGCAAGAGAAAACTGACTTGTCAATTACAAGGGAAAACTATATTATAAAGTTAACAGCTGTCTTATCAGCAAAAACAATGGAAGCCAGAAAGTGGTGAAATAATATATTAATATTTAAAGTGCTCCAGAAAAAAAAAACTGTCAACCAAGAATCTTACACCCAACAAAGCTATCTTTCAAACATGAAGACAAAAATAAAGATATTCTCAGATAAACAAAAGCTAGGAGGACTTTGTGGCTGGAAGACCAGGTTTACAATGCTAAAGGAAGTTCTTCATTCCAAAAGCAGGTGACCCTAGACAGAAATTCAAATCAAGACACACAAATAAAGAGCACTTTTGCATCTTCTTTTATGTAATTACAAAAGATAGTATAAACGTTTATTTCCTCTTTTTTCTCATACCTGATTTAAAAAACAATGGCATAAAACAATAAGTATATAACGTATTTTTGGACCAATAACATATACAAATGTGATATATTCACCACTAACACAAAGGAGGTGAATAGAAGCAAAACTCTATTTGGCTAATGATATGATTCCAGATGGTAATTTGAACCCACAGGAACAAATGAAGAGAACCAGAAGGGGCCTGGTTAGTACTTGGATGAGAGAACTAGAAGGGATAAATAAGATGGTTAATATAACAAAAGCTCTAAGTCTAGATAGGTTGAGTAACCCTTATCTGAAATGCTAGGAACCAGAAGTGTTTCACATTTCAGATTTTTTCAAATTTTGGCACATTTGCATTATACTTACTGATTGAGCATCCCAAATCAAAAAATCGAAAATATGAAATGCTCCAATGAGCATTTCCTTTTAGCATCTTGTCAGTGCTCAAAAAGGTTTGAATTTTGGAGTATTCTGGATTTTCAAATTTGGGATGCCGAACCTGTACTTGCTCTCTTTTCTTCTTTTAGCTTCTTTAAAAGTCATACAATTATATAAAGTATTAATTGTAGTAATGTATTATTGTGTTTGTATTATACATAGAGGTAATATGTATAACAATGCCACATTAAAAGGGGGAAAAGGAACAGAACTATATAGGAGTAACATTTCTACATTCTAACAGGAATTAAATCAGTATAAATCTAAAGCTGATTCTACTTAGGTAAGCTGTGCATGTTAAGCCCTAGAGCAACCACTAAAAAGACCCTCAAAAACATATACTGTAAAGATCATTAAGGAAATTAAAATGCTACATTAGAAAATGTTCACGTAATACAAAAGAATGCAGTAATGGAGTACTACAGGAACAAAAAGAAGTAAGACCCATGGAGAGGGGAGAGATGGCAGATATAAATCCAACCATAGCAATAATAATTGTAAATATGAATGGATTAAACAACCAAATGTAAAAACAGAGATAGTGAGACTGGATTTTTTTTAAAAGATCCAACTATGTGCTGTCTATAGGAGACATACTTTAAATTCAGAGATACGACTAGACTGAAAGTTAGAAAAGGATACATCATACAAACAGCAACCACAATAAAGCTGGAATGACTATATACTGACATCAGACAAAACCGACTTTAAACAAAACTGTTACTAGATATAAGGAGGGACATTTTAAATTGATAAACCATTAGTAAGACATAACAACAATTATAAACAAATATGCACCTATACAGGACACAAAACTGTAAGCAGCAAACACTGACAGAAATGAAGTGAGAAATAGATAATTCAACAATAACACTTGAAGAAATCAATACCTCACTTCTAATCACAGACATAAAAACTAAGTGTGAGACAAGGAAAGAGAAGACTTGTACAAAACTATAAACCAATTAGACATAAAAGACTAGAACACTCCACTGATCAACAGAATATATATTTCTAGTGTAATCTTCAGAACAGCCTTCATGCTAACTAGGCCATAAGATGAACTTGAACAGATTATAAAAGACTGAAATAATACAAAGTATGTTATCCAATCAATGAAATAAGAAACCAGTAGGAAAGAAATTTGGAAAGCTTATAAATATGTGGAAATTAAATAACACACTCCTAAATAACCAATGGGTCAAAGAAGAAATAAATGGGGAAATTAGATAATAGTTTGAGAAGATTGAAAGGAGGACACAATATACCTATACTTGTAAGATACAGCTAAAGCAATGTCTAGTGGGAAATTTATGACAGTAAATATCTCAAATAACCTAACTTTCCACCTTAAGCTACTGGGAAAAAAATAGCAAACTAAACCTAAAGTAGGCAGAAGGAAGGAATTAATAGAGAGTAGAGGTAAAATTTATGAGCTACAGGATAGAAAAATAGAGAAAAACCAATGAAACCAAAAGGTGGTTCTCTGAAAAGATCAAGAAAATTAACAAACCTTTAGCTAAAGTGACCAAGAAAAGGAGAGAGAAGGCTCAAATTATTAGAATCAGAAATGAAATAGCAAATATTATTACTGATCTTACAAAAATAAAAGAATTATGATGGAATACTATAAATAAATGTATAGTAATGAGTTACATAACTTAGATAAAATAAAGACAAATCCCTAGAAAGACACAAACTACTGAAACTGACTAAAAAGACAATCTGAATTACTAATTCAAATTAGTAACTAGTAATCTAAAAATTACTCACAAAGAAAAGCCCAGGCCCAAATGATTTCACAGCTGAATCCTACCAAGCACTTAAAGAATTAGTATCAATTCTTCAAAAAGTAGAAGAGGAGGAAAC